GAGTTCCGCACCGCCTACGTTTTGTACGTGGCCGACGAGAATGGCGTTGCGTTTTGCGATCGGAGTGTGTGGTCAATACTTCAGAACGACTTTAAGCATGGCTCGTACTCGTCATCCATTGTACTTATGACAAGCAAGTGGTTACCACCATCCGACTCGCGCCTGACCATCTACGGTGTGTGCAACGAGGCAAAAGGCTCTCCTGTGACAGATTACGGAGAAGACCTCAATATTGGGACGCCCGTGACGGTGTTGGACTGTGGCGTGTGCACTGTGGACGCCGAGTGCTTTGCAGCGAGGACGAGCAGCATCAGCGGCTGTGAGTGCGTGTGCGCTGCTGGCGGCTACGGTGGCACTTGTCTGCCAGCTGCGGTTCCGGACGGCCTTGGGCCGTTCCCGCTCTCAGATGCGAAGGACACGGAGGTCCGCTGCGTGCACGGTGGCAGCATCAGCTCCGTGGACTATCCTGATCCTGGTGTGCGTGGTCTGTGCTTTGTCAACGTGACTTTCACCGCCGCGATCGTGCTGGACCTCTCGCGTTTCGACGCACCGGAGCAGACACTCAACATCACGCTGCTGCAGTGCGTCCTCGTGGGCCTGTCGGTCAGGGGAGTGGTGGGCGTGTGCACGTGAGCGTGACATCTTCGATGCTGGATTCTGGTGAGTTGGAGTTCAGGGGTTATTTTGGCACTGGATCCCAGATACTGGTGGCGGGCAGTGCGATTGTGTCGACGTTGAGCTACGCTATTGCCTTCTCGGATTTTTTTCTCGGTGCGACCTCGACGCTGTTGCTAATTGAAAACCGCATCGAGGGGAATAATAACGCAGTCTATATATCCGACACTGTTGTTGATGGTGGCGGAATCATTGTGAAGGGAAACGCGCTGTTATCAACGGCGGATGAGGACGAAGTGCAGACGGCCGTTTTTGTTGAAACTATTGATGTGAAGAAGGGCGGCTACATTGACGTTGAGAACAACACGATGAGCGCGGCTAATGGCATTTATTTTTTTGGGGATACAAACGTGGGCTCCGCGGGGCTGCTGAGAGTGGCGGACTGCACTCTTTTTGGCAGAGCGGGGTCTTTTTTTCCCGCGCTGTTGTATTTGGAAGGCTCTGTGACACTTCAGGGTGGTGCGCAGTGGCGTGTGGAGGGCAACAGCGTGGGCGCAGCCTCCCTAATAACTATGGAAGATACCCTGCACGAAATTCTTTTGTCGGGCAGCGGCACTACTGTGGCGCTCGCACACAACCGTCAGGTGGACGGGAGCATTGTCTTTTGCAACCTTTTTGCATCGAGCATTGTCGTGAAGCCGCCTGCGCGGTTGGTCGTTGGGTGCAACCCGCAGGGCGATGAGGAGGCGTCGTACGACGATGTGTTTCCGGAGGGCGTGGTGGTGTTCGGGTGCGGCACGTGCAACGACGACGCGGCGTGCTACATGCCCGGCACGGAGTCGGTGGACCGCGGCTCGTGCTCGTGCAGCTGCAAGGACGGATGGCATGGCGCGTCGTGTTTTCCCTTCGAGGTGCCCGACACGGTTGTGCCGCCCTTGCCGGAGAGAGCCGTCGACGGCGACACGAGCTGCGTATTGAACCAGACGCTGACGAGCCTCGCGCTGAACATGTGGAAGACGCACCACTGCTACGTGGGCGTGACATTCAGCGGCGTGGGTGCTGTGCTGACGTTTTTTTTTGACAGTATGCCGCTGCATCTCCCCATTAACATCACGATCACTGGGTGCACATTTCTTGAGGGTGCCGCGCTGCAGTTTGTTGGGGGTGCTGAGGCGGCCGAGTCAGCCGGCGTCCTGATCCGTGTGAGCCAGACGGTGATGCGGTCCTCCGTTGTTGCTTTTGCACTTGCCTTCCCGCAGCACTGCGACATCGCCGTCACGGAGGTTGACGTGGTGCAGTCATCCGCGGTCCATTTGCCGGACACCGTGAACAACATGTGTAGCGTATTGTTGCTGCACGACGTTGTGTTGACTGCTTCTTCGCTGTTGGTCAGCAACGTCAGGGCGCATGCCTTGAGGTACGGTGGTTTTGGTTTGTACTCGTTCGGTACGCTGACGCTGGTGGGTGGCAGCTCGCTTTACGCGCGGTACTGCAGCTTTGATGGGTACATGCATCTGTTGTACGTGTACATCCTCAGTGCGAGTGACCACTCCGTTTTTGCGCTGCTCAACAATACGATGGCCTCCGGGACAAGCTTCCTGTATCAGCACCACGGAGTTAGCGTGTCGGATCACAGCGTGTTGCGCGTGGTGGGGAACAGCGGTATCGTGGCCTGCGCCATCTACGCATATAATTTTTGGAGCGTCCAGGAGTCAAGCTGGTTGGATTGGCGCGACAACGATGTGGGAATGGGTGCGATGTTGCAGTTTTTTTTGCTTGATGCTAGTATTAGAATCGACAGTAGCAGTGTGGTGACGCTGACGGGCTGCAATATGGGCTCGACGGGGTTGTCGAGGCCTCTGCTATCGCAGGCTGGGGACGGCTACCGGTTCGTTGCTGGGTGTCTGACGGTTCTTGGACGACTGGTGACGACGGCGGCAGAACTGGAGCTGAACGGCATCACCAACGTGACGACGGTTGCTGCGTGCGGGGAGTGCACGAAGGACGGCGACTGCTTTGCACCGCTGACGACGGCGGTCAGCGACTGCGAGTGCCAGTGCGCTGCAGGAGGACACGGCGATGTGTGCGTCCCGGCGCCTGTGCCTGCTGGCCCGCCGCCGCCACCGCCGCCACCAGTGCCGCCCACACCGCCACCGCCGCCGGTTGGTGAGTGCATCAGCGACATGGAGTACCCCGAGGTGGCGCAGACTGTGGGCAGCGGGCTGTCGTGGCTGTGCTACCGCAACGTGACGTTCAGCGGGGGTGGGATGTTCCTGACGGTGCTGATTGGGGGGATGACGGGCGACGTGGCGAGCGTCACGTTCGATGGATGCACGTGGAGGGACGGCGCCGTGCTGTTGCTGTTGGGCAATGCGTACGCCGCTGTGGGGTCGCTGAAAATCGTCGTTACCGGCAACACGTTCCATGACGCGTTGCTTAGCCCGGAGGGTGGGTTCCCACCGCACACAGACATCACGGTCAGCGGGAACCGCTTCACGGTCACGAGGCTGATTTTTCGTTTGGGTTTGGTCATTGACAGACCGTCGTGTGTTGCGATGAATGAGCTGGCGATCAGCAACGACTCCGCGGTGGTGTTTACTGGCAATGTGTTTCAGACCGTGGCGACGTCGTCAAGCGCCATTAAAGTTGTCAAATATGCGCTTAGGGTGATGTGGCACTCCGTGTTTGCGGTGTTGGGCAACGTGTTTCACATGACTGGCGGCGACAGTACGCTGATACATCTTGAAGGTTATACCGAATTCTTGTCGCTGTGTGTACTGAACAGCTCTGCTGTGGTGATCCGAGGCAACGTTGTGACGAGGCCGGTGCAGTACTTCATGCTGTTTCTTTGGGTATTTTGTGTGGAGTCCCAGTCAGCGGTTGTTTTTCGGGACAACGACATGCAAGGAAGCTCGGCTGTTTTCTTTTCAAGCCACTCTTCCTACATTTACTACAACTCCTGGCTGCAGTTGAGCGGCAACGTCTGCCGCGTGTCCCCAGTGGGTGCTTTTGCTGTTTTGAGCCCCGAGGCGAACCTCCGCGACTCCATGGTGTCCGTGTCCGGCAACCGATTCATGTCCTGCACGGTCACGCCAACAATGCTGCAGATACCCTCATTTTCTAGCGACCTCACAAACGGAGCGATTTTGGCCGCGTGCAACAGTGTGAACGGCGTGGAGGAAGCGAAATACGTTATCCCGTCCGTGTACAACGCCACCGTCCTGACCTGCAGCGACCCATGCACCCTCGCAGCGTTGTGCTTCCCCGCGTACACGACGACGGCCTTGAGTGATGGCTGCGCCTGCACGTGCGCTGAGGGCGGCCACGGCGATGCGTGCCTGC